TATATAAAGAAGATTTCTATTATTCTTATGTATTATGTATAAAGAAGCATTTAATGTCTACTGTACTTTTAGATGCTATAAATTAGCATTGCAAATATTTATTAATCAGTTTTAAATAAATACTGTGACTTTTCTTATTTTTTTCCCTTTTAAACTTGCTAGACTTCAGCTTTGAGTGAGATACTTCTGCTTTTACGATTTTGATTCCTCATTTTAAGAAGAAAACCATTTAAGGATCATTCTGCTGAAACTCTCCACCCTCCAACTAAAATGTGACCAATCTTTGTAGTAAAGAAGAATTTGGCCTTGAAAATTTTGTTTACTTATAAAAAGAAAAAGAAAGGTTTTGTTTTATTTTGTTTGTTTTTTTATGTGTGTTTTAGAAGGAAAGGTGGGAAAGTTTGATAGAAACTAAAAGAAAATGGACTTCAAATAGGAATTCAGGGTTTTTTTTTTTTCTTCAGTGCTTATCTTGATGATTAGAATAATAAGGTACTTAGAAATATTTTACCAGTATTTACAAAAGCAATTTATGGTGGTGGTCCTCTTTTTTCACTATATTTCCCCTAACTTAATGTGACTTTGTTTACTGATACTAGGATTTAAACCCAGTGTCTTAAACATGCTAGGCAAGTGCCCTACCGCACTGAGCTACATCCCCAGTTCCTTATTGCAGCTCTTAAAAAAAAAAAAAAAAGGAGAGGAAAATATTTCTTCTGAATAATGTCAGTAGTTCAACAGAAGTTGACTGCTTTTCATTATTTTATAACTTACATTCTTTTCTGATTTTGGCATAATTCTAAAAACAAAATTGTATCATAAAATGGAAAGAAATATATCATCAGGATCCTAGAGACTTAGAATGAAGTGGCAGATTGTAAGCATCCCAATGTATAATTGAAGCATTTGAGATTCAGTGCCTAGGGTATAGCTCTGTGATATAGTGCTTAAAATGGGCAAAGCCTTAAATTTAATTACCATCACTAAAAAAAAAAAAAAAAAAAAAAAAGATGAGCATCAATGGCTCAGGGCTTCCTAGAAGCCTGTACAAAAAGGGGACAGGTTCTCTTTCTAATTTGTATTATCCACCATATGTTTATAGAGATTTAAGTAGAATTGCCTTATCTGGTCCAGATACTACTGACCTATCAGAAAATCTGACCATTAATGGGGTATCTCTTTTGTAATAGTAGTCACTTTGTCCTGAACTATGTTTTTAAGTATATTTTTAATAGCATTTATAGCAAAAACTGGATTGTTCTGAGATTTACTAAATGCAGTTGTCCGGTTAAGAAACCTGTATAAGGAGATGGGGTTGTGGGTCACCGATAGAGTGCTTGCGTAGCATGTGTGAGGCACTGGGTTTGATTCTCAGAACCACATATAAATAAATAAATAATAAAGGCCCATTAACAACTAAAAAAGAAAAGTTAACCCTGTGTAAGGCCAGGGATGTAGCTCAATGGTAAAGTACTTGTCTTAGCATATGAGGTCCTGAGTTTGATTCCTGGTACAGGGTGGAGGGGTGTGGGGGAAGAACCCTGTATATTATATATAAATTATTTTCAAACTTGAATGTGCATGATCTTTTTTAAAAAATCTTAATGCAGTTTCTAATTCAGCAGGTCTAGGGTGGGACCTGAGACTATGTCTCTGACCCACTCCCAAGTGACACAGATGCTACTCTGCTAATAATGCTTTTGGATGTTAATGTTTTATAAGTAATAGCTGTATATGTCATTAGATAATAGTATTGAAATATAGAAATGGAGAATAACAAATCTGATATGTTGAATTACATAAATAAAAATAGCATATAATAAGCAAGGTTAATTTGGAAACTAACCTAAAGAAATATTTCATGTTAATAGTAGAGTGGAAAAATACTTTATTAAATGTTCTAGGATCAAGATTACTTTTTGGATCATGACCATTAACAGTTAAAGATACAGTGCACTGACTAATTAGTACTGTTCCGCCTCAGCTTTTAAGTTGAATGATATAAATCTTTGGATACTTTGATTCTTTCACAACGAAATACTTTAAATTGAGTTAGCAAGTGATTTTCATCTTTTTATACTAGACTGGACTTCTGCGTTAGATGTTAAATGATTTAAAGTAGATTATTCTCGTCACATTAGTCCATAACAATGTAGCATGCATCACAATATTTGTACACATTTTAGCAGTGCTTACCACGGACAGATAATAGGCCCGCTGTTGATTGTCTTCAGCCAGATGTACTGCCATGCCCAAATAAACAAACTGATAACAAAGTGTGACTTTCTTTTACCCTTACAAATGCCTGAGAATTGTCGACTGTTTCTACTCTCTATTTTATGCCATACAATCAAGGTTGTCTTACCAATTTTGTTTTTTAATCTCTGGTTATTTTCAATAAACTTTATAATGCCTAAGCATAGCAATAATGAGAATTACTTTTTAAACTTTTTTTTTTTTTAAATAACAAGTTGTTTCAATTTACTTGTAGGGTCTAGAATCAGATCCTAATATTAATTTAAAACTTCATGTTAACAATCATCTTCCCATTTCATTTTATAATATTTAAATAATTTTACATAACAGGAAAAAACCAGCAAATATTTTCAGTTACTTATGATTCTACTTTGTTAGTGAGATTCTTACTCTTTGAAAGCACTTCCTCAAATACTAATCCGAATAAAGTTGTAAGTGAAAAGTCATAAGAAAAACCATACATATGACCTACCTTACAAAATTCTTGGTCAAAATCTGATTATAATATGATTTTAATAAGTCACTTCTTTTCTTGTCCTCTTATTTAAAGTAGAATAAGACTTGGAGAATACAAAACTTAAGTAAATCTGCAGTTTAAGAAAAAAAAAAAAAGGATATGTACAGCTAGCTTTCCACTTCTAAAACCAAACCACAGATGACACATTTCCTTTTTGCTGCAACTCAAGCAACAAGTCACAGAGGAAAAAAAGAAAAAAACCTTCAACTTGTCTAGCTGGCCAGTCTTATAACAGGAAGCTTTGTGGAACAAATCCCGCCCCCAGAACAGGGAGGGTTTTCCACTTAATGCCTTTGGCTCTTTTGCTCGTTTTATATGCCTGCTATATGCTTCTCAGTGATGTTTGTATCATTCAATAGAAGTTATAAGACAGCATCTTTTTGTTGTTGTTGTTGCAGGGAGTATGGGGACTAGGGATTGAACTCAGGGGCACTTAACCACTGAACCACATCCCCAGCCCCCACCCCACCCCCTTTTTTTTTTTTTTTACTTTTATTTTGAGTCTTGCCGAGTTGCTGAGGTTGGCCTCAAACTTGTGATCCTTCTGCCTCAGCCTCCCTAGTCACTGAATCTTTATAGGTATGTGCTACCATACCTGGTTTCTCCAGATATTTTATTTATATACCACAGAAGGATTTTAAAACATGAGTTTGGAGTCTTTGGTATTTGTCAGATTATAAAAACATTGATACCCATATACAACATTTCAAATTTGGAACTATAACAATGATTTGAGAAAATATCTAGTAAACCTAGATTATGTGGGACTGAAGGTGCCTTTGTGTGATACAGTATGTATGTATACACATACATTCTTCTCACATGTCCTGTCACCACCTGAAATTTAACAAGTCTAAAATGAACTTTATTTTTTCTGCAAATGTTGCTGCCTCTTTCATGATCTCTTAGTTTCTATTCTTGATAGTAACTTGCTTTGTAATCTCAGAGGGTTGATAAACAGAAAGTACTTTTAGTTTGTGTTCTTTGTTTCAGTCCTAATCAGACTTTGGATCATGTTGGTCCTTTCTTCATATTCTTAAATTGATTTCATCTTTGCTATTTTCACTGTCACCATAGTATTTTAGGTCCTCATTAGCCATATCTACATTATTATAATATCCTTTTTGCTAACCCCAACTCCTTCATATGTCTTATATTTAACTCTTTGGTTATATCATTCCTTTCTTAATTAAAAAAAAAAAAGTTAAATAAGTCCCTAATTTTAAATAGTGATTCAGAAATGTTTGTGCGTATAAAGATCAGAGGATTGTTTAAAAATAAGAAAAATGCCACCCCCCCATATATTAATATTTAGCAGGCCTGGGCTTTTTTATCAAGCATCCCAATTGATTTTGATGGCAGAAGTCCACATAGCTAACTAAATACCATTAGCCCTAAGGTAAAATAGGTTGTTAGGATTTGAAAATTCGGTACCATGTTCTTCAGGGCTTTCTCTCCACACTACTCATATTAATTAGTATTCTTTTGGTTTAAAGCAATATATGACCATATATGGCTTAATCAAAAATTAATATTTATTTGTTCACACAGCTGAAGAATCCGGGGATAAATTTGACTTCAGGAGAGACTTTATCTGGGACTCTAATGATATGGCCAAGGCCCCAGTTTCTCTTAATTCTCAGCTAATTCTCTTCAGTTTTTAGACAGACTTTTTCCTTTATATCCTGACATATGAGCTAGCAGCTCCCAGAAGTACATGTTTTAGAAAAAGTTCTCAAAACCCAACATTATAAGCTATTCACTTCACTAGGCTTCTGGCCTGGTAGAACTGATTTTGAGTTGTGTGTTCATTGCTGGACCAATGTCTGGTTAAGATGGGATAAATGGATTGGATAAAGCATACCACATTTCATTCCAGACCTCCAGGTGGGTGATTCCTACCCAAACTGTTTACCTGAGAAATTTGGTAGGCTTAGAAGCAACGAACCAGTGACTATTGTCTTCCTCCTTTCTTGACAAATAGGCAAAACGTATTGTTCAAAATATTTGAATTGGAAATTTGTCTCTTCTGTTTTACTTTAGTCTTATTTCTCCATGTCTAAAGAACAATTGACTTAAAACATAGGTCTAGATTTTGAATAATGGTTTTCTACTACTGTTCTCTCTAGAAAACTAATCCAGAATAAAGAAAATAGAGATTAGTTGTGTCTTTATATATTTATTCAAAAGTTTAATAATCTTTGTCCTCTTTTATCATCTTTCTTAGGTTCAAAACTGGTCAAATCAATGGTGATTTGCTGATATACCACGTCTTGCTGACTTTGAAGCCATATTATGCAAAGCCATATGAAATTGTAGTGGACCTTACCCATACTGGGCCAAGCAATCGCTTTAAAACAGACTTTCTCTCGAAGTGGTTTGTTGTTTTTCCTGGCTTTGCTTATGATAACGTCTGTGCAGTCTATATCTATAACTGCAACTCCTGGGTCAGAGAATACACCAAGTATCATGAGCGGCTCCTGACTGGCCTCAAAGGCAGCAAAAGACTCATTTTCATAGACTGTCCTGGGAAACTGGCTGAACACATAGAGCATGAACAACAAAAACTACCTGCTGCTACATTGGCATTGGAAGAAGACCTCAAGGTATTCCATAATGCTCTCAAACTAGCTCACAAAGATACCAAAGTTTCTATTAAGGTAAGTTTAATTCTGTGATTGTGATTGATTCATTGCCTTTCTTGCCTAATCAGACTATGTCCTGGCCAAATTTTCTCATAGTTGTACATCAGATGTCAAATAAATCCAGATGTAGAAAGACCAAGATTTCTCTCTATATATAGAGGTTCTGCAGAAGACAAGAGAGGTGTAAGTCTAGATTGGGTTGGAGGCAGAAGAGTGCTGTAGGATGGGTAGTTTGCTATCTGTCAATCAAATGGTAGGAATGTGTAGAGAATGGAAATCACCTAGTAGGATTTCTTCTGATTAGTACATATTTTTGCAGAGCAAAGACCATGAACCTTCAGGTTTAAATCAGCACATGTGTATAGGATTCTCAACATTTTTTGTTAAGCCAAATTAATTTTTTTCTAATGTTTTCATTTTCTTTTGAGAGTATTTATCACAATAATTAATGTATTTGAATATATACTGTAGTAATTCTTCCGTAAATGAAAAATATGGTGAGTGGGTAGTGGTTGGTTTTTGGAGCCTCTTGGAATCCTTTATAATGGAATTTAATTCTTTTCCACTTTATTGCCTTACCACCACTTTCCAGGTTGGTTCTACTGCTGTTCAAGTAACCTCAGCAGAGAGAACAAAAGTCCTAGGGCAATCAGTCTTTCTAAATGATATCTATTATGCCTCGGAAATTGAAGAAATCTGCCTAGTGGATGAAAACCAGTTCACCTTAACCATTGCAAACCAGGGCACACCTCTCACCTTCATGCACCAGGAGTGCGAAGCCATTGTTCAATCTATCATTCATATCCGGACCCGCTGGGAGTTGTCACAGCCTGACTCCATCCCCCAGCACACCAAGATTCGACCAAAAGATGTCCCTGGAACACTGCTCAATATTGCATTACTTAATTTAGGCAGTTCAGACCCCAGTTTACGGTAAGTTTGTTTAAATATTCACTTCAGTTTTATTCAGGGTTTATTACTTTTAAAATGAGACCACTTAATAAGCCTTTAAGATATCTTCTTTCTTAATGCTGTAAATTGGAAGGTATGCTGTGTTGGTTAACCAGTGTGACCTCATCAAGATCTGGGGTATTCACATGAAATGCGGAATTCTGAATAGGATGATTCATTCTAAACCAGTTTATTCTCTTTCTCCAGGAAACTTTCCTCTAAAACAGAAAACATAGCAGATTTTTTTTTTTAAAGAAATTGTCCCTTTTTTAAAAAGTTAACTTCTCAATTAAGTGTCTTCTTCTAAGTTTTTCCTGTATTTAAAAGCATATCACTATTAAGTTTCTTAATTGTCAACTCATATTATCATTGTTTGATAAAGGAAGTTCCAATGTTCAGTAACTCAAAGAAAAATATTATTGCATATTGTCATTTTAGGATTCTTACATGGCATCTAAGCACAGTATGATGGATTCTGTTCAGGCTTGTTAATTTGAATGTGGAAAAAGTATGACCTGTGTAGTCAGTAGATTTTGGTTTGAATGTAGATCTGCTACTTTCTAGCTGTGTATGATTTGAGGCAAGGTATTAAGGTTCTCTGAGCTCTAATTTTCCTCACCTGTAAAATAGAGGTAGCAGTGCCTTTCTTATGTATCCACAGAAGTTGAATAACTAGTATGTGTGGTAATATAGTATGACACCTAGCAAAGAGTTTATCCTTAGAAGATAGTATTTTTCTCCTCCCTGTCTTTTCCCTCGCTGCCAAGGTTTCTGTGTACCCCTTCTTTTTTTATCTTCCCTTCCCTTTCTTAGCATAATTTATTGTCTCAAGTACCATGGCACTGTCAGGATTTTTACAGATGGAAGTTGAAAAAAATCCTGAAAATATGAAATCCAAAATGCTCCAAAATCTGAATCTTTCTGAATGCCATGTCCCTCACTCATAACATTTCATATTTCAGAGCATTTTGGATTTCAACTTTTCTAATTTGAGATGTTCACCTGGTAAAGTCCATGCAAATATTCCAAAATCCAGAAAATTGAAATCTGAAAACACTCTGGTCCTAAGCATCTTGTTTTTGTTTTGTTTGTTCAGATTAGTTATACATGACAGTAGAATGTGTTTTGACACATCATACATAAATGGAGTATAACTTCTCATTCTTCTGGTTGTACATGATGTAGAGTTACGCCAATTGTGTAATCATATATGCACATAGGGTAATAATGTCCCATTCATTCTACTATCCTTCTTACCCCCATACTCGCTTCCCTCCCTTCATTCCCCTTTGTCTAATTCCAAGTACCTCTATTCTTCCCTACCTGTGCCCCTCTTCCTAAGCAATTTGAATAGGGATACTAAAACTATAAATCCTTAGCTCCCAGAAACTCTTCCCCCAAGTTATAGCACAACCCACGTTTTATAATAGCCGTTTGGGATTCCAGATTCTCCTTTATTTAAAAGGGGAGGAAAAAACCTTGTATATAATTTCTTTGACTAGATGGGTCTCATAGGGTCCATGAGCTCCCAGAAATCACACAAAATTTTATGTATGTCTAACTTCATTATCTCAGAGGGGTCTCTGCCACCTACCTCCAGATTGAGGAAGCCCAATTTTTTATAGCTATTAAACAGTAAAAACTAGTATCAAAATAGTATAACTTAGAAACCCTTGAAGTTAGTAAAAGATACATAAACTTAGAAATAATAACATTAATGTTTTCAATTTTAGGAAAATGAAACTATAAATCTGTCATTAATTTCTAATTCAAAATTATTTACTGAAGAATACTGACAATCTTCTAACAATTACTAGCTTGCATGAACATGTACTCTTTTCTAGTGAAATAGAGCAAGCTGACAGCTTTTGCTTTTTGCTGAAGACTGTCATCCAGAAAACAAGCTGTTTAGGCAAACTTAAATTTCCATGACTTTTTTCCTCTGTATGGTTGTTGCATAAATATATCAGCATGATAAAAATTCAGAGGTAAGGAAAACCTAAAATTTCCTTTGCTGAATGAAGGAGAAAAATTCAAATTTTAAAATTGAATGAGTTTTGTAAGCTGTCTCCTAAATTGGCTCAAATTTATTTTCAGACATTTTTAAGTGTATTTTTTTTAATAGAGCATGAATATTATAGTTTTTCAGGTGCAGTGGCTGTGTATGATGGAAGAGGTCATAGAAATGCAAATGGGGGGATTTATAGTTAATTTTGGTTTTGACCTCCAGTTGTGGTGTCACTTGTATGAAGCCCATAAAGAAGTTCAGCAGATACTGAATTTAAAATTTCTGACATTCTCATTTGATGAGGTTCACCTCATTTCTCTTCTTATGATTCCTGTTTTTACTGGATCTAGAAGAGAGAAAACCACAATTTGTGTTTTGACTTCCCTAAAAACATAATGTATCTTCTGACTTTTTTCTTATTGATCCTTTTTAGGACCATAAACCTGTAATATTTTATGTCCCAGTAAAATGTCTTCTAAGAAGGCAAAAACCCACTGTCTTAGAAACCTCACAGTGCTCTTCTGTTTATGTCGTAAATCTCTTAAAAAAAAAAATCCCTAAATGATCAAGGGATATTTGGGTTCACCATAATGTCTTATCTCTAATTGATCATAAAATTTTAAAAATAATTGATCATGCTTTGTAATAGAATCAGAAGTTGTATATTCGAAAAATTTGTGGAATTATAAGGAAAAATAAGTTTTAAAACAACTTCATTTGTGTTTTCTCCTAGGTCAGCTGCCTATAATCTTCTGTGTGCCTTAACTTGTACCTTTAATTTAAAAATCGAGGGACAGTTACTAGAGACATCAGGTTTATGTATCCCTGCCAACAACACCCTCTTTATTGTCTCTATTAGTAAGACACTGGCAGCCAATGAGCCACACCTCACGTTAGAATTTTTGGAAGAGTGTATTTCTGGATTTAGCAAATCTAGTAAGTAATTATAATTTTCTTTAATACTAACAATAATTATTTAAAAATTCAGAGAATCCCCTTTTGTTTCAGAATTTACCAGTGAATTCTTTCACTTATTATATTTTACTCTTAACCTTTTCTAAATTTTTATCTATGGTACTCTGTAACTGAAAGAACTTTGAAGAAAATTCCTGATAGAACACTTTAAGAAATCCACCAAGCCACTAGGCATTGTGGCACATGCCTGTAATCCCAGCAGCTGAGGCAGAGGATGCAAGTTCAAAGCCAGTCTCAGCAAAAGCAAGACACTAAGCAACTCACTGAGACCCTAAATAAAACACAAAATAGATCTAGGGATGTGGCTTAGTGGTTGAGTGTCCCGTTCAATCCCAGGGACCCACCCCCCCCCCCCCAAAAAAAATAAAGAAAGAAAAGAAATCCATCAAGCCTGGTATAGTGGCTCTAGCTGGTAATCCCAGAGATTTGGGAAGCTAAAACAGAAGGATCAAAGTTCAAGGCAAGTGTGGGCAATTTAGTGAGACCCTGTCTCAAAATTTAAAAGATAAAAAGGTCTGGGGATGTGGCTCAGTGGTGAAGCACCCCTGGGTTAAATCCCTAGTACCACAAAATTTAAAAAAGGAGAAAAAACGAAATCCATCAAAATTCTGACAGTATAAATGAGGTGGTGAGATTTTTGGTATCTTACATGTCTCTGGGCCTCTTAAAAGTATTTTCTTCATTGTTTTAATTTGATGAGCTTTGGCATTTTCCTTCTTAGCAGATAATTCTACATGAGTAAAGTATCCATGTGTCTCCTTTTTTAGGAAAAAAAAATGTGATTTTATGGACATGTATGGTTCATGGAGAACGCAGTGACACAGGACACGGATCCATAGTCAGTCCTGGAGTTGTTTTAATAAGTGTCATGAATTTGACATCCATTTCTTTTGTCTGTCCATCTTCATAACCCATAAATGTTGACCTTTCCCAGCTTAGTTCCTGACATTTTCTTCCCATTTATTTATTTATTTACCCCTGGGAAATTTACCGCTAAGACACATCCTCACCCCTTTTTTTTGTTTTGAAATGAGGTCTCGCTGAGTTGCTTGAAACTTACTAAATTGCTGAGGCCGGCCTTGAACTTATGATCCTCCTTCCTCAGCCTCCTTCACAAGTCGATGGAATTACAAGCATATGTGACCATGCCGGACTTCTCCCCTTTCTCTTTTCCTCATGATACATACAACTTTTCTTTTTTCTGTGTTTAAACACATTTCTTGACTTTTCTTTATTAGGTAATTGAAAACAATTTAATCAAGACTAGATCACTGTGTATGTTTTTTCAAGCAAGAAATGTAGGCGTAACCCTGATAAGAAAATGTATAAGATTAACTAAACAGGAAAAGTATAAAGGTTTATTGATTAATATTAATATAAGAAAACATTTGAGTGAATGTACAGGCATAATGTATTCCTGCATGAACAGTTCTTCCTAGATGATTACAAATTTATTGTAGTCCCATGAAAGTAACCATGAAATTTGAGGAGTGAGAATGGAAATTAAACTGTAAATGATCTTAAATTCTACTTGAAGGTTTAAGAATACTATTTATGAGGCTGAGACAGGAAGATCACAAGTTTGAGGCCAGTCTGGGCAACTTAGCAAGATCCACTCTCCAAAAAAAAAAAAAAAAAAAAGTTAAAGGGCTGGGGGACGTACCTCACTAGTAGAGTGCCTGTGGGTCTAATCTCCAGTATCATTTAAAAAAAAAAAAAAGTATAAAAAAAATCCCTAAGAAAACATTGGGAAGAAAGACTTGAAATTACAGATATCTGAACATATTACAGTGGTATAGTAATTAAAACATGAGTGTTCAAGAATCAGCACTCAGATCACTTTTAAGAAAAGATAATAAAGAAGCAATGTAAACTAGGGGGGAAAGATTAAATTGTTTAAGAAATGAGATTGAGAAATGAGTTAAGTTGGGTCTTCTTCCATACCACAAGATGTCAAAATAAGTTCTACCTGTATTTAAGGGTTGAATATGAAAACTAGAACCATTAAAAAATGAAGAGGAAGAAGTTAATATTGAATTACTTTTTAGATGAGTAAAGAACATAGGAAACAAGATGATGGAAACAAATAATGAACAAATTCAACTTCATGAAGCTTCAAAACATTTTTTAAAGTGATGATAAATCTAAACCTAGAAGGGTAAATGCTAGAAAAGATTAACATTAATCATGAAGAGATTTTATAAATAAGAAAAATGAATCAACGGTAACATACAAATCATGCTAAAGAAGAATATGTTCAGTTTATTAATAAAAGCAAAAAATGTCAATTGAAAGAATAGTGAGATAATATATTTAGCTATCAGATCAGAACATATTTTTAAATTCAGTACTGATGCTTTGTAGAATATTGAACAGGGGCAGTTTTTCTAGAAAATTTGGAAGTGATTATCAAGACCCTTAAGAGTATTCAATCCTTTTGGTCTCATAATTCCACTTTTTATAATTTGTCCTAAGGAATTAATGTTGTTTGTCATAGATTATTTTTTAATTTATTTAGATTTTTCAATTAAAATATAACTTGTCATGAGTAAAGTGCCCAGATCTTAAATGGAGAATTTGATGAATTTTTATACATCACAGTACATCACAAAAGTAGCTTCTAGATCCAGAACATTTCCAACATCCAGAGGATCCTTTCTCACTTAATATTGCCCCTTTACCAAAAGTAAACACTGTTGTAACTTCTCTTGCCATAGATTTATTTTGACTACTTTTGAACTTCAAATGACATTCCTTAAAGTAAGAAAAAAAGGGGCATAGTCAAACTACAGGGAACTAATTACCTTGTTGGATGTATGACGAAATAATATGAAGCCATTAAAAATTTTTGAGGTGGGGCCGGGATTTTTGCCCAGTAGTAGAGTACTTGCCTAGTATGTGTGAGGCCCTGGCTTCAATCCTCAGACCACATAAAGATAAACAAATAAAACAAAGGTATTGTGTACATCAACAACTAAAAAAATATTAAAAGAATTTTTTTTTTTTAAGGGGCCAGACATGGTGACATATGCCTATAATCCCAGCTTCGTGGGAGGCTGAGGTAGAAGGATCACAAGTTTGAAATAAGCCTGGATAATTTAGCAAGATCCTGTCTCAAAATAAAATAAAAAGGCTAAGATATAACTCAGTGGTATAGCAATACCTAGCATTTATGATGCCCTGGGTGTAATATCCAGTAACACACACACAAGTTTTTGTTACAGAGTTTCAGTTTGAAAAGATGAAAACATTCTAGTGGTAATCATTGCACAACCATGTGAATATACTTAATATATTTTTAAGTATACTTAAAAGTGGTTAAAGTGTTAAATTTTATATTATGTATATTTTATCACAATTTATAAAATTCTCTTTGGGACTTTTAAGTGTACAGAGGATTTTGTATCTTAGTCTATTTCTTTCCCCAAAAAACAAATTGAAAAATGGTTTTGGAGAATTTTTAATGATGAGTAAATCTCAGTAAAATGTATAATGAGAAAGTATTTAGGATATACTGTATATAGAGCATGATCCTAACTTTTGGAGGGGTTATATATGTGTACACTGTCATAAGCATATATTATTTCTACAAATATTTGAAACCATGTGGAAAGATGAGGTAATGTGTTAATATATTAACACCGGTTTCATTTTTTAGTGACATTCTCCTTCTGCCGAACTTTCTATAATTCTCTACATGTCCCTTTTCCAGTGAGAATAAAACTTAAAATATTTTTAAGCTAGATGAGAAATTATTAAAATGGAGAAAATAAGATAATTTTTTAAAACTTGGACTGGCTTTTAAGATTAAATTCTTCAAAGTTTATTCTCTTTCTTCACCTTTTATCCTCAAAAATATATTTTCCACCAGGTGCAGTAGCACATGCCTATAATCTCAGTGACAAGTGAGACCTGGTCTCAAAATTAAAAAATAATAATAATAATAAAAAGGCCTAGGGATGTAGCTCAGTAATAAAGTGCCCCTGGGTTTAATTCCCAGATAGACTCTATAGATAGATAATGATTTGCCAAATCTCTTTTTCTGATTCTAGGTAATGATCTTTAATTCTTATCTCCCCTCTCATTCCTTCATATTAAAATAATTGTTATAATTTTCATTGGTCATCTATGATAATAGTATATGTTTTTCTAGGTATTGAATTGAAACACCTTTGTTTGGAATATGTGACCCCATGGCTGTCAAATCTAGTCCGTTTCTGCAAGCATAACGATGATGCCAAACGTCAAAGAGTTACTGCTATTCTTGATAAGCTAATAACTATGACCATAAATGAGAAACAGATGTATCCATCTATTCAAGCAAAAATATGGGGGAGCCTTGGACAGGTATTGAATTTACTCAAATATTTATCTAGTATCTCCTATGTGCACCTATTTTTTTGGTGCCTACTTTGTGCAAAGCTGTATGCTGGACACTAGGGTATAGCTGTAGAAAATATAATTGCCTCCTTCAAAAGCATGCAGATGCCCACCCAATTCTTAATCTAGTTTGAAATTGTAAATGTCTAATGAATGTTTCAGAACCAGAAAAACACTAGTTACTTTAGCACTCTTCTCCAGGACATAACTATATAGAGTTTAACTATAGAAATATGACATCATATGCTTTAAAATGTATTCTCATTCTTGCATACCATCCATGTCAGTATTTCTTATTGATGTCATTAGGGACATCAGCTTTCATTTATAGTTTTAGCATAATAATTCTACTATTAAAATAAAGGATCTAATGTAACTTTTTTAATCTGACAAGAATTATGTATCTCTTTTCTTCAAAGTAATCACTTAAGGAAGCAGTACACTTGTTTGAACATTGCTGTGAATTCTTTAAGTAATTTTATAGCACTAGAAAATTTCTCAGTACTTGACATCATTTCCTATATTTTAAAATAATTAAGTTGGCTGGGGATGTAGCTCAGTGATTAATTGCTTGTCTAACATATTCAAGGTCCTGGGTTCAATCCCCAGTACCAATAATAATGATGATGACGACATCGACGATGATGATGATGATGATGATGATGATGATGATAATGATGATGTTGGTTACACATATTGTCAAGGAAGAGCAGAGATACTTTACAAGTGAATGAAACTAGTAATGTATACATTATTAAATTTTGAATATTAATCTTTTACTCTCTGAAGGAATCAAGTGAATATCCTCATCCTTTCTTGACAGGACTCTAATAAATTTCTAGTATTTTGGAGGCCTTGGATAAAATAGTTTTTATGTTGATTGGGCTGTTCTTTGAATATTTTTAAATTAAAAGTTCACAGTGTGGTTGAAAACAAGTTTATTTTCCCTCTTCCATTAGATTACAGATCTGCTCGATGTTGTACTAGACAGTTTCATCAAAACCAGTGCAACAGGTGGCTTGGGATCAATAAAAGCTGAAGTGATGGCAGAT